CAACGGGAGGACAGGGCTACAGTGCTACCATATCTTCATAATCTCATCATCTGTCTCAGTGCTGAAATGAATAAATAATGGTATGTATATGTCCTTTAGAGTGAATGTTTTGTGTCCTGGGGTTAGATATCCAGAAGTGGAATTGCTGTATTAAATTATCCTTCCTCTTAGGGTGAATCCCACTTGATCATAGCACTGTCCTCCCATTGTTCATCGATTTGCTTGAGCGGGCCCAGTAACATCTCCATTCTGAGATTTCTTGATACTGTGTTTGGCATATTTAATACATCAAGGGTAGCTTGCCAGGCTTTGCCGTGCGGGCGAGATGCTCTCAGTAGCTTGCTGGGCTCCCCGAAAGGGGCGGAGGAATCGAACCCGGCTCCGCTGGGCCAGCCACATGCAAGGCAAACGCCCTGCCGCCAGCGGGTAGGGCGTTCGCCTTACATGCAGCCAACATGGCTGACCCACTTGATCATGGTGAATGATATTTTAATATGCTGTTTGATTTGGTTTGCTAAGATTTTGTTAAAGGTTTTTTGTTTTTCAGGGAGATTGATCTGAAATTTTCTTTTCTAGAAGTGTCTCTGTCAGCTTTTTTTTATATGTAATGTTAGCTTTATAGTCTTCTTTGAAGGTTTAATAGAACTCACCAATGAACCTCTCTGTATTAGAACTTTTGTTCTCGTAGAGATTCTAATTACTGTTTTGATTTCCTTGCTTGTGATTGCCTGTTTAGGCTTTCTACTTCCTCCTCACTCAGATTTGGGAAATTACATGATATTAAGAATCTGTCTATTTCTTCTAGGTTCTCCATCTTAATAGCATAAAGTTTTTCATCGTAACCTTCCATAATATTTTTAATATCTGAGAGATCTGTTGTGATTTCTCCCCTTTTGTCTCTGATCCAATTTATTTGGACTTTTTCTCTTTTTTCCCCTCATGAGTCTAGATAAAGATTTATCTGCCTTGTTTATTCTTTTGAAGAACCAGCTCCTGGTTTTATTGATTCTTTGCAATGTTTTTTTGGTTTCTATATTACTGATTTTTGTTCTAGTTTTTACTATTTTCCTCTTTTGACTAGTTTGGGGGTTCATTTACTGTTCTTTCTCCAGATTTTTGAGGTATATGTTTATGTTGTTGATTCGAGCTTTTTCTTATTTATTAATGTAGACCTGACTTCCCTCTTAATATAGCTTTTGCTGTATGCCATAGAGTCTGGTTGCTTGTATCTTCATTCTCATTCATTTCAATCAGTCATTTTACTTCTTCCTTGATTTCATCTTTAATCCAGTTGTTACTTAGCAGTGTTTTGTTCAGCTTCCAAGTGTTGGATCTTTCCCCCATCTTATTTTTGTAGTTAATTTCTACTTTCATGGCATTGTGGTATGAACAGGCACTTTGTATGAATTCTATATTTGTAAATTTATGTATGTTTGAGTTATACCCTAGTATGTGATCTATCCTGGAGAACATCTCATGTGTGGTATGACCCAATTTTGGACAAAATGTGCTGAACTTTTCTTTTCTTCTCTTTAGTTATCCCAGTCCTGTCTGTCTAGAAAATTCATTTAATTAAAGATAAAAATTTTACATTCAAGACCTATTTTATATATACAGTGTATCAGTTCTGTATTTTTTTTCTTTTTTGGGTCACACCCAGCAATGCTCAGAGGTTACTCCTGGTTTTGCACTCAGGAATTACTCCTGGTGGTGCTTGGGGGACCATATGGGATGCTGGGGATCGAACCTGGGTCAGCCGCGTGCAAGGCAAACACCCTACCCGCTGTGCTATCGCTTCGGCCCCCCAGTTCTGGATATTTTAAGAGTAACATACCTTTACTTTTTGAAAGGGTTGGGTCCACACCTGGTGGTGCTCAGGGCTGAATCCTGATGGTGCTCAGGGGACCCTATAGGGTACTGCAATTGGAACCATGCTGGCTAAGTACAAGGCAAGTGCCCTATGCACTGACTTATGCTCTAGCCCTTAATCTACGTTTACTTGACATTTTTATTAATACTCTTGACTTTTCTCATAAAGTAGTAATGGGTGTACTTTAGACCCTGTTTTGTAATATAATGTTTTTGCTCAGTAGATGGTTTTATGAAATAAATGATTGCCAGCAAGATAACATATAAGAATCAGTGTGGCATCAGTGTTTTAAACTTTTGTTGGGGTTCCAGGGAGAGTTCTTAATGGGCTGAAGAGCCTGTCATGCAGGGGGCTTGAATTCTGTTCCCACCACCTGATCACTACTAGGAACATCAGTGATTCAGAAACAGTCTCTGCATGCCAAAAACAAACAAGCAAGCAAACAAACAAAATCCTTCTGATTTGGCTGTACTTTCATTTTATGGGGTTTAAAAATTGTTACTAGGTAGGTAAATCTGATTTTTATAAAAAAGTAAAGGATAGAATTAATTTTGTTCTTTTTTTAAGACATGCTAAATTTTATTTTATTTTTATTACTGCTTTTTAGGTCACATGTTTACAATAGTGCTAATGTTTATAGTTTCGATGTACAATTACTTCACCTCACTAGCTTCAAAATGCTTAATATACTCTACTAATGTCCTTATGTTGCTTCTAATCTTCTTCATTGCTTCCTCTACCTTCATTATTTAGTAGTCTCAATTTTGTAATTCAAGGCCAAAGTTTTGTCATTGTTTGATACTGTCTATCCCCTTGTTTTGTTTCTCTGAGTGAGATCATCTGGTATTTGCCCTCCCTCTGACTTACTTCATTTAAAATGATACCCTCCAGTTCCATCCAAGTTACAGAGAACTGAAAGATTTACCTTTTCCTATGGCCACAGAGTATGTAATTGTGTAAATAACACAGCTTTTTAAAAATCTATTCATCTGTTACTGAACATGGGGTTGTTTCTCTATCCTGGCTATTGTGCTAAGTGCTGCAATGAACATAACTCAATGTTCAATGTGTTTGTGTTTGCGGGACAGATGCCAAGAAGTTTATTTGTTTCCAGTCTTTTTTATATTAGCCATTCTCACTGGTGTGAGATATCTCATTGTCATTTTGATTTTTTCCATGATAATAAATGATGATGAAAATGTCTTCATAAGCCCACTGGCCACCTGTGTATTATCACTGGGGAAGTGTCTGTTCATCTCCTCTCTCAATTTTTGGATGGGATTTTTTTGTTGCTGTTGAGCTTTGTGAGTAGCTTTTGTATCTTGGATATTAGCCCTCCATCTGATAAATGTTATGCAAATATTTTTTGCCATTCAGTGGGATGCCTTTTCATTTTAGCCTGAGTTTCTTTTCTAAGGTATGGATGGTTTTATGATGTTTCATCCTCTCTGATATGAACTTGATATCATCTCTCCATTCATTTAGCTTTTGTTGTCATTATATGTTAGCTTCCAGTACTCCTGTATTTTTTTTTTTCTCAAGAAGTTGAATGCAGGGCTAGAGCAATAGCACAGCGGGTAGGGCATTTGCCTTGCACACGGTGGACCCGGGGTTCGATTCCCAGCATCCCATATGGCTCCCTGAGCACCACCAGGAGTAATTCCTGAGTGCAGAGTCAGGAGTAACCCCTGTGCATCGCCGGGTAAGACCCCAAAAGCAAAAAAAAGAAATTGAATGCTTTCCCATCCATTTGTGATTTTGAGTAGTGGTAAAAATGTCTGGAGCATTTTTACTTAACCTTTAAGTTTCAGCTCAAATGTCACTTCCTCTGGGGCCTCTTCCTCCACTACTCCTACCAGGCTATTTTGCATATAATTGCAAGAGCTACTGATTGCATTCATATGCCAAAGAATTTAATTCGGCACCCTATGAGTTTTAAAACAAATTATCTCCAATGCCAGTAAGCTGGTGATCCTATCTCCATTTATGAAAAAAAAATCTGAGAGGGGACGTGTGTCAGGTACACAGCACAGTAAGATGGGGCCAGGAGATGAGTCCAAGATGAGTCCACGGCTGCAAAATCCGGGTTCTGCGCCCACTCCAACCTCATTTCTGACAATTTGGTTCACGGGCATTCTCTCTCAGGTGTATTGTCTCATACCAGATCCAAACTCTAGCCATACTGTGATGAACGAAACAGACTCTAAATTAAAACGTCACCAATAAATACATAAGTACCATTGTGCTAAGTGCCGGGCGTGGGGTGGGGATGGAAGGTAGGGGTTGAACACACATTTAAAAAGACAGCACTGGTGGAGGGATGGGTATTTGATCATTGTGTAATTGAAACCCAAGCACAAAAATTTGTAAGCCTGCAACTGTACCGCATGGTGTCTCACTAATAAAAATTTTTTAAAAAATTTAAATACCAAAAAAAAAAAAAAAAGACAGAGCAGACCGCCGACGGTGGCTGGATCCCTGGTACCTCTAAGGTTCCGGGAGCCAGACCAGAAGGATTCCTAAGCTCAGAGCCAGGAGTAAGCCCCGAGCAGCGCTGGGTATGGCTTGAAAACAAGAACAGGACAACAATCAGAAATGAAGCGCTGAGCGATAGCCAGCCGGTGTCCCTCCCAGAGCGGCACTCGGTTGTCGGGCTCCGCCAGCGCGGGCGTCCACTGGAGGGCGGGAGCCGCCGGGACAGCCGCCTGCGGCCCCGGGGTCCTGGGACGCGCGAGGAAGAAGAGGGGTCTGGCGCTCAGAGGCGCGCAGACGCGGAGGGGACGCTGCGGGGCCTGGGAAGGAGGGGCGGGCGGCGCGGAGGGCGCCGGCAGCGCCGCTAGCGATACCCCGGGGAGTGCGGTGGAAGACCCCGGAGCCCCTCCCCCGTCCCCCTTTGAGTCGGGGGTAACGTTTTCTCTGGACGTGGATAGATTCTGGAAGCGACAGGTGCGGCTGGCAGAAGGCGCGCGCGCTGGCTACTGGCACCAGCCCCGGGGTGCGCCGGGCCGGTCGGCGCAGGAGCCGTTTCCGAGCAGAGATGCCACCCTCCAGACTGGCACTGGCGGGCAGGTTCGAAGCAGGAATCTACCGGCGCCGGCCGCTGCCGCCGGGTGGCAGAGCTGGGGGCAGGCGTACCCCACCGACCCCGCAGGGTGGCCCCGCCCCGGGGCAGCGGGGAGGCCCCACCGTGGGGGGCGGAGTTGGCGCCTCTCTCGCACTCACTCTCATCCCCCGGGACCGCAGCCCCTTCTTAAGCCCGCGGAGGCTCGGCTGCCCCTCACTCGCCTCTCCCGGCACTCTCCCTCCCGCGAGATGGCCTCTGCGCTGAGTTATGTCTCCAAGTTCAAGTCCTTCGTGATCTTGTTCATCACCCCTCTACTGCTGCTGCCACTCATCATTCTGATTCCCGCCAAGGTCAGTTGTATCCAGAGCAGCCGGGCGCCCCCCCCCCCCCATCCCTGTCCCGGTTCGAACCCAGGAGAACTAAATTGGAGCGCAAGGGCACAGCTTCCCTGGGGGCACACGAACTTTGGGCGCTCTGGGTGTCAGATGGGAGGTGCCTGCAAAGAATTGTGAATGGAGAACCGGGGCTCACCGACCTTGGGATTTGCAAAACCCAGGGATCAAGTATGTCCTGCAGGCACAGAAACTTAGATGTTAGCCCAGAACTTGGTTACTCAGCCTTTTCACGCTCTCCGGCCCTGTTCAGAATCTCCTCAGAGGGCAGAACGCCCCACTCACACCTGTGCCAACGGGCACCTGGGAGCCTATCATTCCCTCCCTCGCTGCCTTACTAATGGGGCTTCCTGACACAGGCACCTTGACAGAAATGGCATTACCTTAAGTGGGCTCTAAGTGCACTCTTTCCTTTTTTTTTGTGCCTTTTTGGGTCACATCTGGCAATGCACAGGGGTAACTTCTGGCTTTGCACTCAGGAAACACTCCTGCCGGTGCTCAGAGGACCATATGGGATTCTGGGAATCAAACCCGGGTCGGCCAGGTGCAAGGCAAATGCCCTACCAGCTGTGCTATCGCTCCAGGCCCTCTTTCCCATTTTTGACCCTTCTCTGACCCCAGTTTCCCTATCTACGGTCCACCTTCCTTCCCAGTCTGTAACGGGAACCACAGTTGAATTGCAGTCCTGTCTCAGGCTGGAAGGCAGGACAGGCTTGGCCTGCTTTGCTCCCTGCCTGCTGTGGCTGTGGCAGGAGGCGGGACGTGTTCCCAGAGCTCACGCCTTGGGTGGCTCAACCCAGGGTTGCAGGGAAGCTGCGTCCCATGCCCTGTCCTCCCAGCGCTCCTGGGAGGGAGGGAGAGAATGAATGGCCTTGGCCAAGGGCTGGGGGCGGGGCGCAGCGCGCTGGCCCAGGGGGAGCTGGGCTGTGCCGAGCCTGTTTGGCTGAGGCCCAAGGTCTTTGAAGCCTTTTGTGGCTACTGGCTGCTCCTTCATGGTTCCCTCTTTCAGCCCTTTCACTCTCAGCCCAGACAGGAAACCTCCGGCAGCTCCTCACCCGCTCCAATGCCCTCCCTGGGCAGGTTTGGGAAACAGAAGAGCTCTTTAGGAGATGTTCTGGGGTCAGTCCTGGAGGAGGACCTTTGTACTGGGATAGGGAGAAGCCAGTACCGAGAAGAGAGCCACCAGCCCACCCTTACTCATCCTTGTGCCTTTAGCCAAGCCTCTGTGTTCCCTGGACCTTGGCGTTCTCATCTGTGCAAGGAGAGTGGAGGAGTTGAAGGTTCTGACTCGAAGGGCCAGTAAGGATTTTGCCTCTTTTTAGGAGCGGGTAGGAGGTGGCTGGGAGGAGCCCTGATGTGGTCTGCGCACAGATCCCGGGTGGGCCAAGTACAGCAGGTTCAAACGGGGTGCCCTTCTGCTGCCACTGCACTTGTGAGTGGCTGGAGTTCCTCTGGAGAAGAAGATGCAGACTGTTATTGTCCCGGAGGGGGCCAGGCAGGAGAACTGTGATTTTCCTTATGCAGGCAGGCAGGGCTGTTCTCTGGAATAATTATAGTAGCTTGTGGCTGACCTTCCTGCTCTGGGCAAGTTTGACTGAGAGCCCATGCCCCCCTCCCCGCCTCCGACACTACACACACACACAGGTACACACATGCAGGTGGGCCCTGAGCTGGATCCCCCAATTCTCAGGATGTGTCTGCTTGTCACTAAATAGCCCTGAAAGTAAGGGTCGGGGGTGGGAGTGAGAGAGACTCGAGGGAGAGTGCTCCAGACATCATCTTCACTAGCTTTCCCGTAGTGGGTCAAGAGACCCAGAGCCCAGAGCCTCTCTCTTCTTTCCTTTCCTTCCCTGGTGTTTCTGTTTTGGTCACACTGAAGAGTTCCCAGCCTCGGCGACACCTCTCATTGTGCAAGGACCCCAGCAGTACTCACCGGGCATGGGGCAAAGTGGCAGTGAGACTTCAACAGCTTGGGTCCGGGACATGGTTCAAGCACGCTGGCCTCTGGCCTCTCCCTCCAGCCCTTCTGCTGGTGTCCTTTCTTGCACCTGCTTCCTTGCTAGTTTCACCTCTGCCCCACTTTCTCTGCCTTTAGAAAAAAAACAACAGCTTCTTAGAGTCAGGAGATGGCTCAAAGGGCTGGAGCACACACTCTGCTTGCAGGAGGTCTGGCTTATCCCACACTGCCTCATCCCCCTGTGCGGAGCTGGAAGTAACCTCTGAGCACATCAGTATGGCACAAATACAAGATAACTTTTTAAAAATTCCAGCATTGTGCTGAGAGTAGACTCTAGACTGAACATTATTGCCACTGACTGCCTCTTTTGCAAACCACAGCACCCAAAAGGAGAGAGAGAACAAGGGGGAATGCCCTGCCACAGAGGCAGGGTAGGATGGGGGGGACGGCGGGGTGGGAGGGATACTGGGGTCAGTGGTGGTGGAGAATGGGCACTGGTGGAGGAATGGGTATTCAATCATTGTGTAACTGAAACCCAAGCACAAAAACTTGTAAGTCTACAACTGTACCTCATAGTGTTTCACTAATAAAAATCTAAATTAAAAAAAAAGCAAAAAAAAATTCCAGCATTTTCGTAAGAGAAACAATACAATAAGTACATTATTTTATTAGGATAAATGTTATTTTAATTAATTTTTGTTTGGGGAGCCTCCTAGTCAATGCTCAGGAGACCAGAAGCCCTCCTGGCGATTCTCATCCAACCAGTTCTGTAGTTCAATTCAAGAGCCCAAGGAGGTGGCGCTGTTCGGACCCTGCATGGCGCCCCAGTGGTGCCTGGGGGCTTCTGGGGCTGTACTCAGAGGAGCTCAGGGATCCAGGTAGTGCGGGGGAATCAAACTGGGGTCAGAGGCAAGCAAGGCTTGTGCGTTTACATCTGTACTATTTTCCTTTCCCTTGATATTATTTTTAATGTCTGCAAGTGTAACATCAGACCAAACACCTCATGTTGCACCACATCCACCGTGGTGTGTTGTCTTATCTACATCTTTTCATGAAGCAATGTGCCAGGGCTCCTGCCTCAGTTAGTTTATAGAGCCCTGCTATGGGCAGGGAACTGTGCCGGACACTGCCTTGAAATCCACTGTCCACTTTTACCTCAGTCTTTCTTGGTTGCAGGCAAATGTTCTCAACTTCCTCACAGAACCCCAGACTTCTGTCTGCAGAAAACTCCATCTCACTCTGCCGGGTTACCTCTGCCTTCCGCTTCTGGCCCAGACTCCTACACCCCCACCCCTCAATCCTTTATCTCCACCAAGGTGACCCAGACTAGAGAGGGGTAAGTTGGAAGCCAGGATTTCTCAGGGTAGGGCCTGTTGAATTTGGCTTGGAGGTGAGAGATGGTTTGGCCTGGGGTCCCTTGGTTAGCTGAGCCATCTTCTCTTCCTAAGTTTAGACCATAAAAGTCACCACTCACCTTCTGTACACTGTATGTGAAGAATGGACACTCTCAAATCCTGAATCTATAGGTGAGGGCACAGAGCACACAAAGAGATGGGCTAGGGCTAAGAGCAGGAGCATTTTCTCAAAAATGAGCATTTTAGAGTCAGAACGATAGTGCTGCAGATAAGGCAGTTGTCTTGGATCCTGCCAACCCAGGTTTGATGACTGGCACCAATATGGTCTCTTAGGCTCCAAAGGTGTGAATTGAGCACATAGCCAGGAGTATATCCTGAGCACAGCCAGTATCTATTTTGTTTTGTGCCCCTTAAACAAAAACATAGGAATGAGTATTTTATCAATGCTTGAGTAGAGAATGGCTATCCTTTAATACTGAAAAGGAGGCAGACTTGTCAGATGATTGCTACTTTTTTTTTCTGGGTAGGATGTTTGCCTTACACGTTGTCGACTGAGCCAACCCGGGTTCGATTCCTCCACCCCTCTCAGAGAGCCCGGCAAGCTACTGAGAGTGTCTCGCCGGCACAGCAAAGCCTGGCAAACTACCCTTGATGTATTCGATATGCCAAACACAGTAACAACAAGTCTCACAATGGAGATGTTACTGGGCCCTCGAGCAAATCAATGAACAAAGAGAGGACAGTGCTATAGTGTTACAGTTTATCTATTTGTTTATTTGTGGGTCACACCTGGTAGTGTTGGGACACATGGGGATAAGCAGCTTTTCCATCTTGGTGCTCAGGGATTAATCCCTGCAGTGCCCTGGGGACCATGTGATGCTAGGGAACAAACCCTGGCCTGCTGCATGCTAAGCATGCGTTGTAGCCTTCTGGACCATCTCTCCACTGCAGTGCTACTGTTTTAAATTCTCTATAAGCCCGGGAGGGCATCATGCCTCCTCTGACCCTATCACCAAGGTCCAGAGAAAGTTGCTGCCTGTGGAAGGCAGACAGTGATAGACAGTTGCTTCTGGGCAGATACACCAGAGTCAAAGCCCACTCCTGCAGCCACCCCTCCACTCTGCGTCTATCAAGCCTTTAATCAGCATTGACATCTGCAACCCCCAACCAGGGCACATCTGCCCAAATCTGGGGAACTGTTCTGCTGCCCCAACCAAGAGAGTACCATTGGCACCTAGTGTGGAAGAAACCAGGGATTCAGTGAACATTCTCAGGATAGCCCCTGTCCCACCTCCACTCCCTACAAAGCATCAGCCAACCCAAAATATGAGTAATGCCCAGACCGAGTACTCTGCTTTGACCAGTGGGCTAGTATCCCAGGATGTTCATGTGGATGTTCACACACACACACACACACACACACACACACACACACACACACACACACACACACACACATTCTATTTTGCAAATCCAATCATCACTTCTTTTGCCACCAGGACAAAAGTCAAGTGTCCCAGCCTGACAGGAGTTCTCTGCTTCTCACACAGCACCCTGAACTCACCAACAATGCTCTGCTCCCTCATTGGTGGCCTATTTTTTTAAATCTATTTTTTAAATGACTGCTAACACAACCCATCAAAGAA